AAAAAAAAAAAAAAAAAAGAAAATAAAGACATATAAATTTCCCACCCAGTTCTTTTGACCCCTATGGTCTCCCTGAACTGGGTTAAATACCCCACCAAAGCGAGGTTTACAGACTCACCTGCTCACAGTGGACATGCAGATAGAGCCAGTCAGGCTCTGCTGCAGTGGGTTGTGCCAGAGCCTGTTGGCCTCTGTTCCTGCTGACCCACTCCTGTGGTACTCAGCGAGTTTATGGTTGAGGAACATGAACTGAGGAAGGAGAAGATCCAGGAGGATTACAACGACAAGTACTGGGACCAACGGTACACCGTGGTGCAGCCGCAGATCCCGTCCTTCCTGCAGAAGGTGGCTGGCAAGATCCTCAGCACAGGTGAGAGGCGGGTTTGAGGGGCACAGAGAGCACAGAGTGGGGGTTTGAGGGGTGGGAATGGAAGTGGGCAGGGAGTAGGTTGGCAGCAAAGTTCTCTCTCTAAGGTCCCCGTGGCCATGTATCTGCCTGAGAGTGGGCCAAGGTTCAGGACTGGCCCCTTGCCAGGTTGTGTGTGGGTGCTGATTTTGATTGTGCAGTCTGCACACCAGTTGGTGGTATGTAGGTGACTCCCGGACACGCTAGTGAATATTGTTCTGACCTCTGACCCCAGGAGGCTGTCTCATAGGTAGCTTCTCTCTTTACTTTTGATTTTTAATTTCTAAAATCCCATTATTTCAGTGCATGGTGGCTCATGCTTATAATTGGAGCACTCTGAGAGGCCAAATGGGCGGATCCCTTGAGCTCAGGAGTCTGAAGTTGCTGTGAGCTGTGATAACACCATGGCGTTCTACCTGGGGTGACAGAGTGAGACTGTCAAAAAATAAATAAAAATGAATTAAAATATAAAATAAAATCCCATTATGGCGGCGCCTGTGTCTCAAAGGGGTAGGGTGCCGGCCCCATATGCCGGATATGGCATGTTCAAAGCCGGCCCGGGCCAAAAACTGCAAAAAAAAAAATAATAAAATCCCATTACCACTGTGAGAAAACCCAATGAAGAACATGGACCTGCTGGGCCAGTGACAGTTTTAGTGAACACCACATGGGTTAGGACCCAGCCTAGTGCCTGAGCAAGGTGCAGGGACCTAGCCACTGCCCAGAAGGGGTTGGAGAAGTAGCAGTCAGGTTCTCGTAGACCTTTCAGAAATTGCCTCTGTGTCCAAGCAGAGGTGTCCTGGCACAAAAGGCCTGAGCCATTCACCATTGCTCCTGTCTAGGCCTTGCTATTTCTCCAGGGATCAGCAAGTTTATAGAGCTGTGTCCAGTCCACTCCCCGTGTTTGCATAAAGATGGCTGAGGCTTTAGACCTAAGATTCACTGCATGTCTGACAAAATTTGTACCCCAACTTCCTTTGTCTTTTCAGGGAAATATCTCAACGTGGTCAGAGAATGTGGTCACCATGTCACCTGCCCAGTGGCTAAAGAGATCATCTACACGCTGAAGGAGCGAGCATACGTGGAGCAGATCGAGAAGGCCTTTGACCACGCCAGCAAGGTGCTGCTGGACTTCCTGATGGAGGAAGAGGAGCTGCTGGCCCACTTGAGGTGCTGCCCTGCACAGCCTGCAGGAGGCCTGGGCCTGTGAAGTGGGTCTGCCTCATCTTTGGAGAAGTGGGCATACTGCTGGGTTGTGTCCAACCTAAGACCTGCACCTGTGTGTTGGTAGTGTCTGCCCCATCAGCATGTGTGGGGCCCGCCTCCCCCACCCTCATTGCCATGTCTGTGGAGAAGGATGCTTACCACCCTTCCCACACAGGTCCATCAAGCGCTACTTCCTAATGGACCAGGGCGACTTCTTCGTGCACTTCATGGACCTGACGGAGGAGGAGCTCCGGAAGCCAGTGGAAGACATTGCACCCCCCCGCCTGGAGGCTCTGCTGGAGCTGGCACTGCGCATGAGCACTGCGAACACAGACCCCTTCAAGGACGACCTCAAGGTAGATGTGGGCCCTGAGCCTGTGCTGTGCTACTAGGGGTGGGCCTTGGACAGTGGAGAGCCTTCCTTCCCCACGACTGCAGCAAGGGTGCGTGTGCCTGAACCTGGCTCCCAGGGCCAAGGCTTTCTGCACCTGCATTCATGAGGAATGTGGGTCTGAGGCTCTTTTGTGGTGTCCCTGCCTGGCCTAGTGTCAGGCTAAGGCTGGCCTGGAATAAGTTTGGGAATGCCCCTCCTCTAGTTCTTGGTTTCAAGTGCCTTCTTTTAGACTATTTGGCAAGATCCGCTGTGAAGCCCTCAGGTCCAGAGCTTGTTTTCATTGGGAGGTTTGTCATTATGGCTCGGCCCCCTCCATAGCTGCAGCTCAGGTCAGAGTTTGTTTCTTCTTGGGTCAGCTGTGGAGATTTGTGATTCTGCAGCCCTCTCATCTAGGGTTCCCGTTTGTCAGCTGGAAACACAGTATTCTCTTATAATGCTTTTCATTTCTGTAGGGGTGGTGGTGATCTTCCAGATTTCCTTTCTTTTTTTTTTTTTTTGAGACGGACCCTCAAGCTATCCCCCTGGGTAGAGTGCCATGGCATC